TGCACATACGAGAAGTTCTTCCTCTTATTCAGGTGCAACTTCCTGTGCCTCACTTTCCACCCATTACCTGTTCTAATGGAGTTACTTATTCCTGTTTTCCTTTTGTTTCTTGTTCAATTTTGTTTTTGTTGGGTTTTTTCCTTTTATCTCTTAATACAGAAGTAGAAGACAGGGGTTGTAGTAGAAAATCTAACMTGCAGGTCTACTTTCTAGAACACTGAGTTAATTGTTCCACAACCACAAATTCCCAGACAACATAATGAAAGAAAATGAAAAGAGCCAGTTTTCATATCTCTGTCTCCTCTGCTCCAGTTATCAAGCTTCAGGTGTGGAATGACAGAAATAAATATTACAGCAAMTATCTTCAGACATTTAGATTTAAAAGAAAAAWTTATTTCCAGTTACATGTACTCTAAAACTTGTGGAAGAAATTCTGTAAAAATATTATTCATATCATTCTGTAGTTTTACAGCTTTTTACAGTTTTACAGGGGGGTCTCAGCATCAACCTCATGGTATGACTTTTTTTGTTAATGTTATATCTATGGGCTGCATAAAGTATCAAAGTTAAAATCAAGATGACATATTTTGACTAGTCCCATCACAATTCATTTTCTGTCACTCATAACTGTAGATTCAGTTATTAAAAACACACTGATGCACCAAAAGTTTTACACTCTGCAAAGGCATKGCTCCAACTGCATCACTTAAAAAACTGAAACTGCTCAGTTCCTTAAAATGCAGCTGTTGCATCTGGAGTTCACTTATTTTCTCTCATTAAAGTASCTTTGTGCTAAAAGATGCTTTTTTCCCCCCTCCACTGAATCTGGCACTTTAGCTATGACATGATTTTATTACTCAGAAATACTTTATTACTGCAATAAAACTGCACTTTTCACTTTTCCACTGTCTCACCTAATAGTGAATGTTAAACCAAAAAACTGAAGTAAAAAAACCCTGTTGATTCCACAGGCAGGAGATTACACATTAATAGTGCAAGACAGCAAAGCAGAGCAGGAAAAGAAAAATGTCCTCTGCAGTTTACATAGTGATATATATTGAATTTCTGGGTTTAACGTTATTTATAGTGTTTCTTGCAGTGCCATCATCACAAAGAGTTATGTAGGAAGTAAATGTCTRACATTTGCTCTTTCATATTGCTCCAAGAGGAGCACCCAAAAGATTGTCCCCTTTTAACAATCTCACTTCTGTGTGTTTTGGCTTGAGAAGACTGGAAGATAAATGCCTTTCACTTGCTGGCAGACACCTGTAGGCTGTAGCATAATTTCATTAATTTCCTGCTGAAACACGAAAGGAATTAAGTTTATTCCCATTAGCATGATCCTTAAACTGTTGCATCATTTAGCAAATTATTCCCACGTTAATGCACAGAGATTTAGGCGTTTGTACTTAGCAGAACTGCAAGTACATCAGTATGAGAGAAAAATGGCCTGTTCTAGGCTGGTTAAGATGGTAACTTGATTAAAACTCTGCCATCGTCTATCTCATTTTGCTGTCTGAAATGTTATTATATATGTAAAATTCTTCTGCATCTGATCTTCTTCCAGCTCCTATTTTTCACTGGTCTGTGAAGATTAAAATTATTTTCTTTTTTTCCTATAAAGCACGTCTCTGAAACCAAACTGCTAAGTGTTCCTCTGTGCTGGTGAAGGAAACTAAAAGAGATGCTTTCTCAATCCCTTTATCTTATCTAACCTGAAAGAAGAGAAATAATCAATTAAGTAATGGTTGCTGTAGACACAGTATTTAATGTATGAATAATTTACCCTCAGTGCTCATCTGAGGGGGGAAAAAAACCCTGTTACACATTTGAACATATTTCCAGTTATATTTAGTTGTAACCAAACTCATCCTCTCTGACATAAACGTGCACAAACACAGAAATACACCTGGACACAGAAAACAATCTTTCTAAAGWTTCTAAACAATCTATCTAAAATAAAAAGGCCATCATCACCTACGGCCACGACTGCTTTTACAGAACCTCTTTCATCAGTCTCAGATTCATTGACAAAAAGAAGCACAGAGCTAAAAAGACTTTTCAGTGAAACCAATACTCATCTACTGGGTTTTCATCTTGCAGAATTTACTTTACTTTTTTTTCCCCCTGCTTTTAATACTGTAGGATTAGCTAATCTATTCCCTTTCTCTCCATCTACAGAAGGAAGTCTGCTTATTTTAAAAACTTTTACAATGGTTTTAGTGATTTCATCTTAAAAGAGGACTTTTCTAGCTTCACAGAACACAAGGCACATTCCTTCTGAATGCTGGTTACTCATCTAAAACAGCAAGGCCCATCTATCATTAGTTAACAYGGCTCCAAAATACATTTCCCCAAATAACTAACATCATTAGAATACTGATGAAAAAGCGTTATTTTTTTCCAAACRATGTGACTTGCTTTCTGAAATGGCCCCACTTGAAGAAAAATTAACCAAGATAATAAAAACAAGAAAAAATGCTGATTCTAGATGTTGGATGAAATGCATGACTTTTGGTGTTTTTTTAAAGGCAATAAATTTTACATGATAACTGGAAAAAATAAAACATATGGAAATCACTTGGTCAGGGCTGAAAACTTCTATGTAGATTTAATTTTCTTACACCACAATTTAACCATGTTCTTACGAGATATTCTGAACGGAGGTGAGGGTAAACTTTCTCCTGAGGTAGACCTGATGCAACAGTCATAGGAGCTGCTATCATTTTGTTGTGTGCATGGGCCCAGTGCTTTAGGCTCCTCAGARAGAATGCTGGTCCAATATATTAATTTTTTGCCATACATTATAGCTTGTAACTATATCTTGTTCTTTGCATTGGGTCCTGTACTTTTAAAATTAATTTATGATTTTGGAATCTCATTGTTAAACCAGAAAAGGCTGCTGGTAATGACCGGCAACTCTCAATGACTGAGAAAATCAGATGGCGATGTTCTGCTCAGCAGGAACGGCGTTGAGTTAATATTTAATGATTTACTAGTTCTACTTGACTGAGCTTGCACCCTGTAAATGGATCATATGATCATTGATCACAAGTTCAAGTGCTTTTGTTGCTGGCGTGGCGGGAGCCGGGGCTGTGTTGTTCAGTACCAGGGGCTCGTGTGCAGCTCTGTGTAAGACAAGGGCAGCTTACATGCAACAGGCACTTAATGCCTCATACCAGCAAGCCCTCAGCCCAAGGCAGCTCATGAGGTTGAATTTTAAAAAGGTAGCTGACCTTGCAGCTGGGAGCTTTAACTGTGCTTTTACCCATTTGTACCTGGATAAGTAAACAGTTACTGAGTGCTGAAAGGGCCAGAAAGCACTATTTTAGCCAAAGGCTAATCCCTGTTCTTTGTGGATGAAAGGATTCAAAAAGAAAACAAAACAAACAAAAAAAAAAAAATTCTCTGCTTCAGGTAACACAAAGGTAAAGCTGCAATAAAGACATCCATTAATTTTAAGCTTAGTGTTGCCTTACCCTCCATTTCTAATGAGTGAATCAACCTTTGAAAAACTACTGAGCTCTTCTTAAAATGATGGAAACATTACAATCACAAAGAAAAGGCTATATGCAATATAAAGCAAAGTAGCTCAGAAAGGTTCATCTCATGCAGATGAAATTAAAAGAATAAGTGATCAATAAGCTGCTAGTTGCACAGCTTGAACCYAATAAAAACAGTCATCATTCACACTGCAGAAAACACAAGTTGAAATGTATGAGACAATCTAAGGCAGTGATCCTCTGCCCTATGCATTCCTCTCATGTTTAATATTTTTCTCAATGCTGTGGTTGAAACTAATGAAGAATTAATGGATTTCTCTGTCAAGTGTGGCTATTTCACAGCATAAAGAAGAAGCCCTTGCTCTGCATGGAAGGACAAAAGGTTTTCAGGCCAAAGACAACTTCTCGGCTGAAGACTTCTTCCTCCTTTCATAGATCTTTCTTCATAAATTTTAGCATACTGTCCTACATAAATATTTTTTTTAGGCTCTCTAGTTCATTTTGTTATTTTCCGTGCAACCTGTACTTCATCTCTTTTGTATCCAACAGAAGAACAATGCCAACRCTTTCACAGTTTTCACAGCTGCCCACTGTTCTTCTACATGCACAGACAGWTGTATCAGAAGATGCTTGACACAGATGTTGGAGGAAGAAAAGGAAGACCAAGGGGGAATGTAACCCTCAGCCAATGTGCAGGACTTCATTTGAGTGACATGCAGCAAAAATGAACTTCACAGCTCTCAGTTTATTTTCTGGCTGACAGTCCAGGACCTGACATTTGATGGCTTGCTAATATCCATGTCTTGTAAAGTCAAACCTTTTCTTCTCTCCMAGTACAGGCATTAAATCCTAGAATTTTAGTTATCCTCTCTATTTTCCTCAGTCCACAAATTCGCTACAAGATGCTTCCAGCTCCCATTATAAACCAGTCATKGTCCTGCACGTATTCCTTAATTAAAAAAAAAAAAAAATTGAACTTCCATCCATTATTTTTAAAATGTAGGAGAGAGCAGCACCCTATTTAAATGAAGGACCACAAACATGTACTTCATGTGTTTAATTTCTGATCATGTAGCAGAATAGGAAAGTCCCTTCCTTTCTTTGATCTTGCTTGTTTGGAATGCAACATAAAAAGGGAATAACCCATTCTTCAAAAATCTATGATCTGCACCTAACTAAATCAGGCACCTAAAATCCTTAATGCAAGTAACATTATTCCTGATACTACATGAATAAAAGATAAGTGAGGAGATCCTTACWGCAGATTATGTAAAATCTAAATGCAATATGCCTTTGGTAAAGCAATTTAAGTTTTAGTAAAACATAATTGCAATTTTAAAAGTTTGTCCTCAGTCRTCTGAAACTACTTTACCACATCATAGATTTCTGGTAAATTCAAATGAAAAATTCTTAACTGCTTTGAAATTTGAAAAGAACACCCATATTTAGCTCAAATACCTCCACATGTTAGTCTCACCAAAGCTAGACAGGTTTTACCTGCATAGGTAAAGTACAGAATGCTTTATCCTTCCTCTTGAACAGGAACATTCGGCTAAAATGCTACAGTAATAAGGCCTGTTTGATACTGCTGCTTGTTAACATTTCCATGTGTGTTTTATGATCACTGCAAAACAGAAAGCTCAGCAAACAGGAGGAAGCAGAGTTKGCCTTGCAGGAGCACGCCCGGGCAGGATGGCTCAGAGCCACACACCCATTATCGATGTGCGTTAGGAAGAGTCTGTCTAGACACCCAGAACCTGACAAGATGATGTGCTCAACTCAGGGCTTGGATCAGATTTAATAAGAGGATGCTGGCAGGCCTCAACTGGTCCTGGAAGATTGTCYAGGTTGTTTGACAAATGAGGCTGTAGTAAAGCTATGAACAAAGAATACTCAGTCACAAAGCATCCAAAATAAAACAGTTTCTGTTTACTAAAAGAAGTTTAAATCATCTACACCTCTGCTTAATGTCTAAACTCYTAAAGACAATTGAAATAGGAGTCACCATGGCTACAGTGACATTAGATATATGGTAGAAATAAAGATTAGGATAAGAAAAAGATGGGAAGAATTTTGCAAGCATAGCAATCTGACCCAGCTTTAGGGACAAGGTGGAAAATAACACAGATGAGGAGTGTGTACCTGACTCCTGAGCAAAAACCCCTACTGGATTCCTCTGGGAGCTTCTTGGTAACCGTGGGAGGAGAATTCAGAAGCTAAGCACAGACCATGGTGCAGGAGAAAGGGAAGGCTGTTCTAGCACCACTTGTAAACTTCATTTCTGACATAGTACCTAAATGCTGAGCCTTGCATCTTGCTTAATACAGACCTTCATTTTACCTGTGAGACAGTCTGRTGTTGGGGAATAAGTGAATCACAGAGCAAATATCAAACACATAATACCTTCAGGGAAGGGAGAAATCCAGAACAAAGAGAAACTCAACAAAAGCAGTGTTGCAGGCAGCCCTGGGGCAYCCACACTTCAAGATTTCTGTCGGGRTACCTGGGAACCATGGAATGCTCCTGCAAAGCTGCACAGACTGCCTGTGAGGAGCTGTTTTGACAAGAACCAAGAGCTARGAAWGTCCCCYATGAGTGTCAGGCCCTTGTATAAGACAAAAACAACAGAAGCAGTGCTAGACAAAATGCAAATATCTAAAAACTGATGGCGATATTTCACTTGGGAAGTACCTGCTGAAATTTGAGCTGACRTAATTGCTTTGCTGAGACGTCCTATTATTTATTTTCTAATTAGTTGTAAACCATTTGAATGCCATTCCAATACAGAGGATACAATGTAAAAATTTTGAGAGCCTGAGGGCATACATACAGTGTTTGTGGGCATAAGTTTTCTGCTCATAATGGAACACAACTGTTTAAGCTGTRGATTAGCAGGTGCCTTAATAGAAGGTGATGGCTGGCTTCAGTCTCAAACTTGTTCATTCACCTTTTCTTTCTGTAAGTTGAGGAATTTAGGGCCTACTGGTTGTGGTGTTTCTAGATTCCTAATCAGTCTTGCAAGGAACTTTGAAATCCCYTTAAAAAAGAGCCCTGCGTGCTCCATGCCATCACAGACACAGAACACGTTGGCATTCCAGGCCCATGTGAACTGGGCTGTTTCTCTTGTCATCCAACTAAAGAAGAAAATTCACTCCCTATTTKCAGTGATCAGAAGTAGTGCTTGCAAAGAAATATAATTAAAAGATGATAAAATGTTATTTTTACTACTTTACAGAAAAGATTAAAAGCCTGCTTTTTTCTGATCATTTTAATCAGTACACTGGAAGCACAACTATTTTATTTATAACACAAGTTGAACCTAAAAGTTAAGTGGTGTACATATAAAAACACTTTGGTGACAGACAGCAACAGAAGACATCACAGGAGGAATTGAAATTGTCAGCCTTTCTTAACATCCCAGGACTTGTAAAAGTCACAAAATTAATATATTCCTAGAAAATCTATTGCATGGAGCAAGACTAAATGGAAATAATTATGTGAGCACACTATTCCTTCCACCTGCCCTTCTCTCTTTASTACAGTGGCTGTGGTTTTCCCAGAGAATGCCACTACCTCGTCGTTCTGTACTTTATAGAACTAACTCTGCAATGTCAAAATGCCTGAGAAGACTAACTACTTGGCTGGAAAAAGATATGAGACACATTAATTTTTCTGAGAAAAGTTMTTACTGGAAATCTACAAGATGACAGGTATCACCAAGCAGTCTTTACTGCCCAGAACCTCAGTATTGCCTCATAAAAACAACAGCTAAAACCACCCACAAGAAAACAAAAAAATACTGTAAGTACAACCTCAATCTACATGCATGGGCCTTTATCGAGACTTATTCACTTAAGAAAAGAAGTTGCAGTTTTGTGTTGCTTATGTTTTGCACACTTTAAACCTGAAATAGGGCACACAATCTAAGACTGGATAAATGAAAGATACAAAAYATTTATGAGGAAAAAGAACAAGAAATAGAAAGTTTCAAATACATTGCTTTAATTCAGTAATAGAAAGTGGACTGCTACTAGAATGCTATTTTTGGATTTAAGATTGCAATAGTAGATATTCTGTTAGGAGAATGTCTTACTGAATTTCTATTCTTGCATTGTTGGCACTTAGGTCCCTAACATCCTTCCTAGCTAAGAGGCTCTGCTGGTGTTAGAGATTATTTGAGAAGAAACATAAACAATTGCACTAAGAGAGAAAAGGCTATTAAAATATTCAAAATTCCTCCACAGGCAGAAGCAAAAGCATCTTTCATAATTTCCTAAAGTAAAACTAAAGGGCATTAAAGGAGAGGAAGAAAAAAACCCACCTTTTTAAGAGTTTTAATCAAACTCTTACATTTAACAGCATTAATGCTAAGTATGCAAACGTTCATCCCACTGATCATTATGGTATCAAGAACTAATTTCCCTCCTTTTAAGAGCTTATATGTCACATCACACCCTGTGGGCCTTCCAGAGATGTATTTAAATGTCTAACAGGGGGAAAAGAAAGACATTCCAGACAGCCAGGTGTTACTGATTCACCCATTAAAACTTCAGTTATAAAATATCCCACACAATGGTAAAACACTTCAGTCATTAGCTGATCATAAATAGATTAAGATGACAGTCTAAATTATTATGACTATATGTGTATAAAATTTACATTGCTCATCACATTGTTCCAGGTGTCGGTAACTCTGATTATCTGAAGTTAAAGATTAAGTGCGTGCATTATTTGTTCTAAGAACTCAAGAAGAAAGACAAAGCCAGATGTAGCAAATGTAACATTAATCCTGAGACAGAAGAAAATTTCAGATTTATTTGCAATGATGCTCATTCATTTACTATTACATAGCTGAAAATGAGGTCTTGTTTCTTTTTATTGTAAGCTTTATGCCAGCCTTAGTATTTCACATAATGAATGTGAAACAGTAAAATAATTCAAATATTTTTATATTTTAAATTGCCTAAACTCCTGTCTTTCAAATAAAGAAAACATCCAGTGAACATCCAACTCTGCACCATTTTGATATCAACTTTAATAACAAAAGATGTGGATGGACTTTACATCGTGGCATGCGGTTGATTTACACAAATTTATTTGCCTATGAAYGTGAAGATAATTTCTGTGCTTATTTATTTCTTTATCTATGCTGTCAAACAGGATTTGAATTTTATCATTAAACCATATTTCAATTCACTTTCCCCCTTTCAATTTGGCACATGATCAAATTTCTGAGTTAATAAATTAGGGACCATCACCAGCATTCCCATAATTGTCCCTGGACAAGCACTTAACTCACAATCTGTGTGAAGAAATTTGAGTCAACTTAATCTAGATTAGAAGACAGTTGATCTAAATCAAATTAGGTTACATTTACTATGAGCTAAAAGCTTGTACTTGATAGTCMCACTCATGCTAGAGATGCACTATAAAGCCTTGTTGCACTGTAAAAAAATGCAACTTATCCCCTTGACTCGCCCTGACTTCCAGGCAAAACTTCTTTTCAAGCTTTTGCTTTTTCATCTATTTGTTTAATTTTAGGAATGAAATGCTGCAGGTTTTGCCACTGACTCAGCAGAAAGAAATTTCACTCTTCTGTGTTTTTAATGCTCAGAAATAGCTAAACAAAAATGATGTCAATTGCTCTCACCAATGTTCACAACTTACAGTAATAGATCAGTCAAGACCCAGGCATTAGCATGCCACAAACATTATTGGTTTATGTTTCAAAAATATGCAAGYAAATTATGAGTTAAAAATTATGAAATCTAGCCAGACCATGTCCTTTTTAGCAGAATTACATCCCAGTAAKTCCTCTAGTCACAGAACACAAAATTATTTTTATTTACATCAGAGACAAGCAAGCACCTGAAAGAATGAAATCACTTTCTCTTGTGCTTGAGGATGAGAACTGATCCATTCCAGCATCTCTTCTCAAACACAGTCGCTGCCTCCCAAGGAATGTTATGATGAGAATCACTTCAAAAGATCCAAAACAGACACAGCTTTTGCCAAACACACACTTTTGCCTTCTGGACTTCAGGTGTTTCTGCTTTCCTGTTTCTTACAAGGYTCTGTCATGATTTTGTTAATGTTTTTATTGCTGTGATACACTAGGTTGAGCCTGTCACTTCAGAGAAGAAAACTTGAACTCTGCTGGCTAAACCCATTTGAACACATTTTTGGTAAACAAAAACCGAAAACAACTCAAAAGAAAAATAATATGAATCAAATCTAATAATTAGAAGATAAGAATATAGCATACAGAAGGAGAGAAGAAAAAAGAAGCAAGAATAAAAGCAACAAAAAAAACTAAATCAAACCAACCAAACAAAATGTTTAATGTGTGCATAGGCCCAAACCCCACAGAAATCATTTTCCACAAAAAAGAATTTCTTGGGTCATTCTTACAGCCAAAAAAGATTATATGAGTTGCCAAATGGAATAGATTTTGAAATTCACAGTTATACTGGAACCATATTTTCATAGTCAATTCTGAAAAGTGTGTTTGTACTAATGTTCAGCAATAAGACCTTGGAAAACTGGCTTTTGTCAGTTGTG